CCTCTATTCTCAGCAGAAATAAAACTTCTCAAAAACTGACTTGAAGCTCAATAAACGGTGGCCGAACTAATAAAGATATAACTACGCAAACCCTTCAGCCAGAGCAAATCCTCGTAAACAGCTGTGCGAATACAGACCGACAGAAACTAAGAAAATGTGTGGGAGTAATTCCTCTCCGACCTCAGTGGCAAATAGACATGTGCTAACAGGCACACTAAAACACTCTACCACCCAAAGGGTTGACTTCACCCCTTAGCTCTGCTAATAAACCAAAGACAGCTAGCTAAGCTGCGTAGCATAAAAGTATGAAATGTAGAGCAATAACCAAATAACAACCAGCTTCCAAACACAGATTAACAAGTAATAAAGCATCACACAACGCGTGTGGGTTTAACCTTCGTGCATGTGTTCCCCAGGGGGAAGACCATGTGTGGGATGCGAGGTACACAATACGGTTCAGACACGGCCTCCTTCCAGCCATTATCTCTCAAGCAGTGGTCTATGATGAGCAGAGTTTAGGCTCGACGTCCTGTCGCACAGTAATCCGCGCAAAGCCAATAATGAACCATAGTGTGGCTCAGAGGTAGTCTTGAAATAAGGCGAGGAGCCAAAGTGAATCGTGACAGTTTCTCATGCGCACAGTAATCCGCGCAAAGCCAAAAATGAACCATAGTGTGACTCAGGGGTAGTCTTGAAAAAAGCGAGGAGCCAAGTGAATCGTGACAGTTTCTCATTCAGCTGCTACTCCTCCAGACATGCCATGCAAACTAGATTGAAGCAATCCTAGCAAAGGTTGCAAATCGAGCAAAGGAACCCAAACTCATACTACGAAATTGCTAATCCTTGGACAAATTTACGAAATCACGTGAGGTAATTCACAAAAATGAGTGAATCTACCCTAAATCGTGCGTAGGTACATTGTAATTCCAACAATATCGAATACAACACACTAAAACGATCCAACCACAATGGTTTGTTCTTAGATAGCTACCCAAGGCTCCTCAAGATGTACATGGAATGATGAACAAACCAAGGGAATGAAGCACCCCTCCACAGAAGTCGAAGTACGAATTGATAGAACACGTGCTCAGTACCGAAAACAATCCAACCACAGTGGTAAGTTCTTAGATAGCTATTCCAGTTTCCAGGCTCCTCAAGATGTTCAAGGAATGATGAACCAACCGAGAGAATGAAGCACCCTTCCGCAGAAGTCGAAGTACGAATTAATAAAACGAAATCGACGTCTGGAAGTTATGGAGAGATTAGATGCGAAACTTAGTACTTAGCAGGCATACTTCCAGAGACATCGCTCCCACCACTGCCCGTAGCTCTCCCACAGCTTCGAGCATGCCGATGTCCGCAAAACCACAGCTGCTATGCACTGGCTGATGATAAGAACTAGCACTTTGCAGGCATACTTARTGGCATCGCTCCCACCACTACCCGTAGCTCTCCCACAGCTTCGAGAGTGCCGATGTCCATGTAACTACAGCTGCTATGCACTAGTCCCCATCAGCCTTGACCGGAGTCTCCCTGCCCCCTGGTATTCCACAGGGGGAAACGCAGCAAATGCATACCGGGAGATGGTTGGCGCCTTGAGATCTACGAGAATCGGCGCTCTCCCTGTCACTCCAACCGTAGGGCCTAGTCCTCCGCACATCGCAGGAAAATGCCGATTAGCATATCGCGGATTAGCGCAGATTAGTGCAGCCCTGGTTAGAGCCGTCCGGTCCCTAAACGAGATATAATTCAAATCCCCTATCTTTCTCTCTTTGTATCTTCTATCTTCTTCTTCGTCTTCTTCTTCTTCTTCTTCTTCTTCTTTTTTTTTTTTTTTTTTAATCTTTGTATCTTCTATCTTCTATATTCTTTTCAGAAAAATAAAAATAAAAAATCTTCTATCTTCCATCTTTGTATTTGCAGTACATAGACAGGTTCCATTCCCCTCCCCCCCCACTACCCCCCCACCAAAGAAAAAAAAACGAAAAACAAAAGGAGCGCCAAGTCCTTCCAGCTCAACGGAGCTAGTGGGACAAGGTCCCAGGGAACGAAAGGACCAAAACAAAAAAGAAGGACAAAAAAACAAAACGGAACGCGCTCGTTCGCGTGCCTGGTAATAATAACACGGTCGAGGTTTTTTTTTTTTTTTTTTTTTTTTTTTTTTTTTTTTTTT